GTGTGTGTGTGTGTGTGTGTGTGTGTGTGTGTGTGTGTGTGTGTGTGATATATATCCATCCATCCATTATCTTCAGCTTCCTAGGGAGGTGCTTCAGGCAATTCAATTCAGTTTATTTAGGCAAATCAAAATAAATTGACAATTACATTGCACTAACCGGTGTACTTTGGTTTCTAAGCACAGTATACCCACTACAAAAATGTAGGCTACACACTGAACCAACCCAAAGCAATCCAAATCGACACAAATCAACACAATCCAAACCAACCCAAACCAACCCAACCCAATCAATCCAAACCAACCCAACCCAAATCAACCCAATCCAAACCAAACCAATCAATCCAAACCAAACCAATCAATCCAAACCAACCCAAATCAACCCAATCCAAACCAATCAATCCAATCCAAACCAATCAATCCAATCCAACCCAAATCAACCCAAACCAAACCAATCAATCCAATCCAACCCAAATCAACCCAAACCAAACCAATCAATCCAAACCAACCCAAATCAACCCAGTCAATCCAAACCAATCCAAACCAACCCAACCCAAATCAACCCAATCCAAACCAATCAATCCAAACCAAACCAACCCAACCCAAATCAACCCAATCCAAACCAATCAATCCAATCTAAACCAAACCAACCCAACCCAAAGCAAATAAAGGTTGAATGAAAAATAACCCAAACCATAGATTTAGTGAGTCCTTCCACCCCGTGGATGACTCAGTGCATGTGTGTGGAACCGAACAGCCCTTGTTTTTGTTAACATTGTTCAGAGAGCTCCTGGTGCTCAGTGCATTAGCTGCAGAGCTGATTTCATGCTGACTCCATCAATATGTTGGAGGCAGTTCTTCTCTGGACGTTCTGCACACAGAGTGTAAAGGAAATCACTGCTGCTGGAGGAAATGATTGTGGTGCAACTTGTTTCTAAAGCCAGTCTCCTGGAAACATCTGGAATGACCTGCTGATGTTGCAGTCGCACCAGCAGGTCACAAATAATATGTAGAAAAAGACATTTATTCCATTGGTCAGAAGAAAACATCCTGAGCCGACATCAGTCTCAGACTGCTAATGGCTGTTTCTGGTGTGCACAGGAGTCGTCACAAGCTGCTGCCGAGCTGCTGAAGAGGCAGGAGGAGCTGGAGAGGAAGGCCGCAGAGTTGGACCGCCGGGAGAGAGAGCTGCAGTCCCTCAGTGCTTCAGGAGGTCAGAACGAGCCTTTAGAAGACCACAACAGAGCCGAGATGTTTGCAGGAAGTCTCTGCCAAGTGATGGTTGATTTGAGCTTTGAGTCTCAGTCAGGTTTTCATACAAACTGCAGAGTTGTAGATGATCAAAGTTCACGCTCCATCATCCCGGTGAAAAATCCAACAACGTTCAGTCATGTCATCTAGACCATGTCTTTTTTTTGTTGAGACGTTTCGTCCTTCATCAGTCCAGGCCCACTGCTGTGATGAAAACATGGTCGTCTGTGTGGGCTCTTCAGGAGCTCCACAGTGCAGCAAGTGTTTGGACTTTGTTGGGTCCATTCAGGAACAACACTCCACGTTTGTTCACAACAACAGAAACTTAAAGACCTGTTCGTTGTCCCTCGTTGTGGAGCGAAGAAGGGGAATTTAAAATACCGTCCATGTGACCGTCCGTGCGTGCATCTGTGCACGTTGTGAACTGAACAAGTTGAAAAATAAGAACGTCCGTTCAGGTGTGTGGCTGCAGGTTGCTGGCCCAAGATCCAAGATGGCCGCCATTGTACACATGAACATGCTCGCGTGTGTGTGTGTCAGTGAGTGTGAGAGAGAGAGAGCGTCTTTGTGACGGAAAAATAAAGTGTATCATGGTCTGAGTAAAAGCACTTCAGTCCACCTACCGTCTACTTGGGACTGGATCACTCCGGGTCTGGTTCTTAGACTCAGGTCTTTCAGTGTCCATGAGTCTTCTTCTGGACCACCTCACATCCTGTAGATGGAAGAAACAATGTTCTGCTGCAGCTGGTCGACACTAAATGACACGTCGTGTCCCTGAGCTCAGGATGTTTTGTTGTTTGTTTGTTTGTTTGTTGTCCAACAACAGGAACATAAACTCGTGTTATTTTTGAACTTTAATGAAGTCAAACTTGGACTCTTGCAGGCAGGAGGAACAACTGGCCCCCCCTCCCACAGAACTCCCCCGTGGGTCCTTGTTTCTACCACGACATCAGCGTGGACATCCCTGTAGAGTTCCAGAAGACGGTTAAAGTCATGTACTACCTGTGGATGAGTGAGTACACCCTCACCGTCAGGACGATTCAATTTGAATTCAGTTCAAAGAGTCAGAGTGTTTAACCAGACAGAATATTTATTTATCCGTGCTCTTTAGTTTTTATCACTCTGCTGAGAGAACAAACGTGGAAGAGTTTAGTCGGTACATCATCAGCTAAACATGGCCGCCACAGCCAGCTGATGTCAGGACACAGAAACTGTTCAACCGTCCAGTTCTACAGATACAGTAGTAGGTTCCAGCTGGATGTGGTGGTAGCCGAGAGTCACCACACAGGTTTAATGAAAACCTTCTCAAAGCAGAAGGCAGGCAGCGGGCGGGTCAGACCTTCAGTCTGTCTAACTTTTCATACGTTTGAAAAACGGTTTCTGTTGAAGAGATTAGTTCTCCGAGACTCCCTGCTGACAAGTTTCATCTAACGGGGCTTAAACATTTCTGTTTGTCAGGAAACGAACGTCTTTAATTTGAGTTGTCGCTACGACGCTCGTGTCCTTATGAAACGTCTCCGTCAGACGTTTCTCAATGTTCGCTGACTGAATGATCAATAATCCACTGTGCGTGTTTGTCCTGGTGTCTGTCAGTGCACTCTGGGACGCTGCTGGCCAACATGGTGGGCTGCCTGGCCTGGTTCTGTGTGGACCCGTCCCGTGGAGTGGACCTGGGTCTGTCCATCCTCTGGCTGCTGCTCTTCACTCCGTGTGCGTTTGTGTGTTGGTACCAACCTATTTACGGAGCCTTCAGGTCAGGGCGCAGTCTGCTCACCAGCAGAACACTGAACCACCGTGCTGCTCATGTCTTCTCACGTGCACCAGCAGAACACTAATCCACCGTGTTGCTCATGTCTTCCGTCTCTGCAGGAGCGACAGCTCGTTCAGATTCTTTGTCTTCTTCTTCGTGTACATCTGTCAGTTTGGGGTTTACGTCATGCAGTGCATCGGCATCACTAGTTGGGGAGCAAGGTGAGACGTAAACCTGACAAGAATCTGTTGATGGTGGCTTCAGATATTTAGGTTTTAGTTTTTTCTGAAAACATTTTGTTTATTATGTTGAGTTCTTTTCATAAAGCTGTCATAATATTTAGCTCTGAAGTTTTGTTTTGTGTCTGAAAGTTGAGCAGAAACCTGGAAGCAGTCAGTGTTCAGAAGAAAAGTTCCCGAGCAGCAGAATTAATAAATAATTTATCATTAATAAATAATTTATCATTAATAAAAATATGATTGATAATTTATGATTGATAAATTATTGATTAATAAATAATTTATGATAACTAAAAATATTATTAATAAATAATGTATTATGAATTTTGTATCATTTATAATTTTTTATTAATAATGTATCATTAATAAATTTATCATTAATAAATAATTTTCACATTCATTTGAAGGAAAACGTTGTTTCTCAGCTCAACTGAAAATAAATAAATCAACTCGCATGTAATAAACACTGACAATCGTGGTCAAGCAAAGTGACAGGTGTGTTTTGGATCAGTGTTGGTTTGTAACTATGTTCTTCATGGAGCAACAGTTCTCTGTTGGTTTGTGACGATGTTCTTCATGGAACAACAATTCTCTGTTGGTTTGTGACGATGTTCTTCATGGAACAACAGTTCTCTGTTGGTTTGTGACGATGTTCTTCATGGAGAAACAGTTCTCTGTTGGTTTGTAACTACGTTCTTCATGGAGCAACAGTTCTCTGTTGGTTTGTGACGATGTTCTTCATGGAGAAACAATTCTCTGTTGGTTTGTGACGATGTTCTTCATGGAGCAACAGTTCTCTGTTGGTTTGTGACGATGTTCTTCATGGAGAAACAGTTCTCTGTTGGTTTGTAACTACGTTCTTCATGGAGCAACAGTTCTCTGTTTGTTTGTGACGATGTTCTTCATGGAACAACAGTTCTCTGTTGGTTTGTGACGATGTTCTTCATGGAACAACAGTTCTCTGTTGGTTTGTGACGATGTTCTTCATGGAGAAACAGTTCTCTGTTGGTTTGTAACTACGTTCTTCATGGAGCAACAGTTCTCTGTTGGTTTGTGATGATGTTCTTCATGGAACAACAGTTCTCTGTTGGTTTGTGATGATGTTCTTCATGGAGAAACAGTTCTCTGTTGGTTTGTGACGATGTTCTTCATGGAACAACAGTTCTCTGTTGGTTTGTGACGATGTTCTTCATGGAGAAACAATTCTCTGTTGGTTTGTGACGATGTTCTTCATGGAGCAACAGTTCTCTGTTGGTTTGTGACGATGTTCTTCATGGAGACACAGTTCTCTTTTGGTTTGTGACGACGTTCTTCGTGGAACAACAATTCTCTGTTGGTTTGTGACGATATTCTTCATGGAGAAACAGTTCTCTGTTGGTTTGTAACTACGTTCTTCATGGAGCAACAGTTCTCTGTTGGTTTGTGACGACGTTCTTCATGGAGCAACAGTTCTCTGTTGTTTGTAACTACGTTCTTCATGGAACAGCAGTCCTCTGTTGGTTTGTAACTGCGTTCTTCATGGAGCAACAATTCACTGTTGGTTTGTGACCATGTTCTTCATGGAGCAACAGTTATCTGTTGGTTTCTAACTTCGTTCTTCATGGAACAGCAATTCTCTGTTGGTTTGTAACTACGTTCTTCATGGAACAACAGTTCTCTGTTGGTTTGTGACGAGGTTCTTCATGGAGCAACAATTCTCTGTTGGTTTGTAACTACGTTCTTCATGGAACAACAGTTCTCTGTTGGTTTGTGACGATGTTCTTCATGGAGCAACAGTTCTCTGTTGGTTTGTAACTACGTTCTTCATGGAACAGCAGTTCTCTGTTGGTTTGTAACTACGTTCTTCATGGAACAACAGTTCTCTGTTGGTTTGTAACTACGTTCTTCGTGGAGCAACAGTTCTCTGTTGGTTTGTAACTACGTTCTTCATGGAGCAACAGTTCTCTGTTGGTTTGTGACGATGTTCTTCATGGAACAAATATTCTCCGTTGGTTTGTAACTACGTTCTT